TGGCCAGAGGGAAACGCGTTGTAGTCAGAATGCGCTTTCACCGAATAGTACTCCATCCCCTACCTTTCGATTATTAGCATTTACTGATTAGACCAAACCATCCATACTAGTCGAAGTACTATAGATACAGCGTGATTTGATAGCAGGCCAGATCGAATTATGATCAAAATCTAGCTACAATGTTCTGCAAAGAATGAGCACAACCAAGTCAGTATGCGGATAAGAAGTCGGCCTTCTATAAACGATGTATTTTTACAGAGCTAACACAGTCAAAGCATTGAAAACGCATTGAATTATTCGAGATCATCATCATCGAATGGGTCGTAGCCGAAATCTACAAATTTATCAAAAAAGGCTAAAGCATACCTATGAGTATGAAACTTCACTAACAGAGTATGAGGCAGAAACAATGAAGCAAAATCAGTAGTGGCACGTGAAAGAATCCGAGTTCTTACAAAATCACTTTAAAGGTGCGTGGGATATACCTATTTTACTGACCCACGTTATCTTACATAAGCAACTTTGAAATGCTGAATGCGTACCATTCATGAAATCCCAATGAGCATCTGGACTCTCAGACTCAGCTTGCGGCTGTACCCCCTCCTACGTACATGAAATTGACGAATTTAAAAGACAAAGCTACATCATCAAGGCCAGGCGTTCCCCCGTAGTCAACACCCTCATCGTACGGCTTCATTTCGTCAAGTATACCGTTTTTGAAGGTTGTTATAAACAATGAAGCTGCAAGCAAGCAAACCACAACATGCTGCATTTTTTATGAAAGTAATGAATATTATCATTTTAATAATACATTTTTCTTATGTATAAGTCACGGAATGTTTTTCGATTTAGCCTCTGGGCGCTGGTTGGTTCAGTTAATCCGCATGCGCATGCATCCTGGCTTTACGTCTGGTTTCTTTCTATTTTGAGGTATTCTACCACTGATTGGGCTTTCAACCCAGGCCAACCTCTCTTTAGTTGAAGGAAGCTACATTGTCGTGTGTTCTGGTAGTCGATTATAAATACAGCGTTGCGTTTAGTAATGTCAACCTATTTTTCTTTTGGAAGCTGAGGCACTATTCTGTTGAGTAGTACCTCTTATTTTTGTGCTGACTTTGTTACTCATATGTAGAACGTGTCATTTTTCGTCGCATTCTAGTGTTACGTTATAATATCGAAATGAGTAAACGGAAGCAGACTCGCAAATTTGCAGTGATGAAGAAAACACTCAACTTAAGAGATGACAGAATGTAAGCCATATTTAGTTGCTCATTTGATGCTTCTTTTTAAGCAAAAAGCTTGATCGAGATAAGCTTCGAGATGCTAAGAAGGTTGCCAAGGCGGCTTCTCGCATGGTGGTTAAAAATCGAAGTGAGCTCGTCCCCTGCTTGAGGGATTCTTACAATGAGGCCCTTGGTCCTCCCTATCACATTCTTCTCGATACAAACTATGTAAACTTTAGCATCAAAAATCGACTTGACCTGTTTAATTCCATAATGGACTGTTTGCTAGCGAAATGTAAGACATGCGTTTCCTCTATTCGCTCCCTACGTTCATAGGTTTCCTCTACGTGACGGATTGCGTCATGGGTGAAATTGAGAAGATGTCAGAACGATATCGGGTCGCTTTGAGGCGAGCATCATTTCGTTTATTAAAAATTTTCCTTAGTCGAGATTGCATTTTGCTTATTTCGCTGTTATGTCAACACAGTAATCCGTTGGACATTTCTCCCCATTCAATTGATCTCTTTTGGCTTAATAATTTGCTTGTTAAACTTATTTCGCGATTCGTGGTTGAGCGCTTCCTAAATATTCTTTGTAAGGCACCCAACAACATTAGTACAACCATTTAAATGTTGCAACTGTTGGTTAAACTTTCTCGATTCTGTCGCTCTTACCTGCCCTCTTATTGGCTTTGCTTCTTTGTCCAACACCTTAAATGAATTTACTTATTCAAACCATTAGTATCACAAATCTCACAGGAACTCGTTGTCCGGAATTTCCATTTCATCCGTGGTTTTTTATCAATTTTATCACGGTTTTTATCCATCTCAGGATTCTTCGTGACCCTCGGATAGAACGTTTGACCTGCCAGCATAAGGGAACATATGCTGACGACTGCCTGGTGGAACGATGTCGGGCACGCTGCTACATAGTTGCCACGTGCGATCGTGACCTCCGACGTCGAATTCGGAAGATCACCGGTGTACCAATCATGTACATTCACAATCACCGGGTCACTATTGAGAAGATGCCGATGGCTCTCGGTGCTCCCAAGATATAAATCACGTTCCTTTCGTCCTCATTCTTGTCACCATTCACAGTCGGACCTGGTCGAATGTAAACGATGGCTTGAGGAGTTTTGACTTAATGATACCCTTTTTAGAGTGCTTTCATCATTATTTTAGTTAAGATTGTTTCACTAGAGTACTAATTAGGCTTGACGAACATTGGTTGCCTTGGTAGATTTGTCCTCGCTGTCGTTACATGGAATCTGGTCGCTGAGATACTGGTGTCGTTTTGTCTTTTTCATAGGCATGGTTCCTTGTTGAAGCTCGAGTTTATTCCTCTGCATCTGAGTTAAAATTATCAAGCTAGCCATATTCTTCAATATGCTGATTTTGTAAATAGAATTGAAGCTCTAGAAATTTGCGTTTTCAGGTCCAAGTGTGCTGTAGACTTCCCACCTAAATTGTCAGTCACAGGACCTTCATTCTGTGCTGTTGTACGTTCTAAATTAACTCACAGCCTTCATTAAGCTATTCTTTTCGAAACGCAGAGCATTTCTCAGCACAAATCGTCCAGTGGTTAGGTACTTCTTAAGTGTAGTTCAAATAGAATATCAATGGGAAGCTTTGTAGCTAGGGCTTAATTAGTCTCTGAAAGATTGAATAAGGATTTGATCAGCCTTAAACGTGGTCGGTAGTTACTCAGATATTTTTTGTACATAAGTTTATGGTTACTTGATTTAACCCAGTAAAACCAATTGCCTCTATGAATCGTCTTAAGATGAGGAGAGCCAGGCTATCTTCCGTCCGTTTGGGTTTCAAAGACATGAGAAGAAAGCAACATATAATTTTGTTATTGTCTAAGCAATTTGGAGATGAACAGTCTTTTAATCTGTAGACAGTGCTCGCATAGCGAGGAGCAGAGAT